GTTTTTACCAAAAAGTTTGGACATTGGTCTTGAAGGCTAGGAAAAAAATGACCAAATTCGGCCCACGTAGACGTCCGTGGGGCTCAGGCACTATCGTGGGCGATCTGAATGGTACCAAGACCAGTCGGTCCATCACTTAAGCCCTCTGTGAGATCTCTGATGTATAACGAGGTCTGATTTCCGTGTAAAACCTTTCCCGCACTCGGGGCAGTGATATGGTTTGTCCTCCGCGTGCGATCTCCGATGTGAGAGGAGTTCTGATTTCAGCTGAAAGCTTTCCTCACACTCGGGGCAGGAAAACGGCCTTTTCCGCGTGTGGCGTTGCTGGTGCTGGGTAAGGTTGGACTTCTGTGAAAAACATTTCCCGCACTCGCCGCAGGAATACGGCTTCTCGCCGGTGTGGGATCTTTGATGTGTGTAAAGATGGGACTTCTGTGAAAAACATTTCCTGCACTTGCCGCAGGAATACGGCTTCTCGCCCGTGTGAGATCTATGATGTGTGGTCAGGTCTGATTTACATGGAAAACACTTTCCACACTCGGGGCAGGAATACACTTTTACACCCGTGTGCAGTCTCTGATGTCTGGCAAGACATGACTTCTGTAAAAAACCTTTCCCGCACTCAGGACACGAATATGGCTTCTGCCCCGAGTGAGATCTTTGATGCATTACAAATTCTGCTTTCTGTGAAAAGCTTCTCCCGCACTCAGGACAGCGATGCGGCTTTTCACCTGTGTCAGAAATGTCACGTATAACAAGGTCCGATTCCTGCGAAATACACTTTTCCCACTCAGAGCAGGGATATAAATTTTCACTCGTGTAAAATTTCTTATGTCTAGCACGACAAGACTTGTGTGAAACACATTTCCCGCACTCAGGGCAGGAAGATGTCTTCTTCCCCTGAATTCCGGCACCATCCCCCACAGGACGAGGTCTCTCAGAGTCAGAGGGAGTCCATGGTCTATCCACACTGTGAGGTCCATCATCCATAGCTGAGCTCATTGTCTCTTCTCCCGCACAATCTGCTGTGATGTCCTCATCTTCCATCTTACAACCTGGAGATAAAGTCAGACGATCCTTTGAGGGTTCCTCCATGGCGTGTCCTGGAAACATAGAGACACATGACGGAGAGATATGAGAGGGTTAGATGACTTCACTCAACATTCCATCTGGATCAGGAGGTCTGAGGGAGCGGATGTTCTATGAGGAGGTCCCAACCAGCCGGACAAGTATCTGTACAGGGAGGTGGCAATTATCAACCTATTACTGGCTGATATCACTCGGCTCCGCCCACCTCTCAACCAATCAGTGTGTAGGAACAGAGATAACAGAAGAATATATTATGACCCACCTATGCTGATCTTGATAGTAGCGTCCTCCACTATGGACATCCTCGTCGTTCCATCCTCCTCTATGGACGTCCTCATCATCCCGGCCTCCTCCTCCGTATATCGCTGATCATCCCTCACATACGTCTCTTCTACTTCACCCTCAACTTTCATCTTCATCAGATCTTCACCCTAAACCAACAGAACGGCAGAAAGTCTCATCTGTGACATAGAAGTATTTATGATGTGACATCACATAGAAGATCTCATCTTGTAGAGTCCACACGTCATCTCCACATGTCAGAGCGTTCCATCACTTTATGTTCCCGCCCCCTCAACTCCACCCACCTGATCATGGTGGGGGACGGTGAGATCTTCCTGGGTGGAGTCCCGGGAATACAGAGGACGGGGACATCTCTCATGGTGGGGGATGGTGAGATCTTCCTGGGTGGAGTCCCGGGAATACAGAGGACGGGGACATCTCTCTGGTGGGTTCCTCTTACTAGATGGTTCCATCATAATGTCCCTGTAGAGGTCCATGTGTCCTTCAGAAACCTCCTTCATCACCCCGTACTCCTCATCCTCATCTTCGTATTCTTCTTTAACAACGATAGTATAATCCTCGAGGTTGTTACACTGAATATAAAAGAAATGTATTATAACAAACACACTTGTATATAAAACATAACTACCAATAGTTGGTAACCATCTACCTGATCATGGTGGGGGATGGTGAGATCTTCCTGGGTGGAGTCCCGGGAATACAGAGGGTGGGGACATCTCTCATGGTGGGGGACGGTGAGATCTTCCTGGGTGGAGTCCCAGGAATACAGAGGGCGGGGACATCTCTCATGGTGGGGGATGGTGAGATCTTCCTGGGTGGAGTCCCGGGAATACAGAGGGCGGGGACATCTCTCATGGTGGGGGATGGTGAGATCTTCCTGGGTGGAGTCCCGGGAATACAGGGGGCGGGGACATCTCTCATGGTGGGGGATGGTGAGATCTTCCTGGGTGGAGTCCCGGGAATACAGGGGGCGGGGACATCTCTCATGGTGGGGGATGGTGAGATCTTCCTGGGTGGAGTCCCGGGAATACAGGGGGCGGGGACATCTCTCATGGTGGGGGATGGTGAGATCTTCCTGGGTGGAGTCCCGGGAATACAGGGGGCGGGGACATCTCTCATGGTGGGGGATGGTGAGATCTTCCTGGGTGGAGTCCCGGGAATACAGGGGGCGGGGACATCTCTCTGGTGGGTTCCTCTTACTGGATCCATCTGTAGGGAACACACACACTGACTGAATACATTGTTTCTATGTGTGTATCAGATGATGGGGGATGTAGGCGGAGCCTCCGTACTGCTCTCTCCTCTTACCCGGTGATGTGAGGGGCGGGGCATTCTCCATCACCACGTCCTTGTAGAGATCCCGGTGTCCTTCTAGATACTCCCACTCCTCCATGGAGAGATAGACAGAGACATCCTGACACCTTATAGGAACCTGACACACACAATGATACCGTCACCACCCAGACACGCCCCTTGTCTGTTCCTGGATCATGTCCCAGAATCCCCGGCACCGCTCACCTCTCCCGTCACCACCCAGACACGCCCCTTGTCTGTTCCTGGATCATGTCCCAGAATCCCCGGCACCGCTCACCTCTCCCGTCACCACCCAGACACGCCCCTTGTCTGTTCCTGGATCATGTCCCAGAATCCCCGGCACCGCTCACCTCTCCCGTCACCACCCAGACACGCCCCTTGTCTGTTCCTGGATCATGTCCCAGAATCCCCGGCACCGCTCACCTCTCCCGTCACCACCCAGACACGCCCCTTGTCTGTTCCTGGATCATGTCCCAGAATCCCCGGCACCGCTCACCTCTCCCGTCACCACCCAGACACGCCCCTTGTCTGTTCCTGGATCATGTCCCAGAATCCCCGGCACCGCTCACCTCTCCCGTCACCACCCAGACACGCCCCTTGTCTGTTCCTGGATCATGTCCCAGAATCCCCGGCACCGCTCACCTCTCCCGTCACCACCCAGACACGCCCCTTGTCTGTTCCTGGATCATGTCCCAGAATCCCCGGCACCGCTCACCTCTCCCGTCACCACCCAGACACGCCCCTTGTCTGTTCCTGGATCATGTCCCAGAATCCCCGGCACCGCTCACCTCTCCCGTCACCACCCAGACACGCCCCTTGTCTGTTCCTGGATCATGTCCCAGAATCCCCGGCACCGCTCACCTCTCCCGTCACCACCCAGACACGCCCCTTGTCTGTTCCTGGATCATGTCCCAGAATCCCCGGCACCGCTCACCTCTCCCGTCACCACCCAGACACGCCCCTTGTCTGTTCCTGGATCATGTCCCAGAATCCCCGGCACCGCTCACCTCTCCCGTCACCACCCAGACACGCCCCTTGTCTGTTCCTGGATCATGTCCCAGAATCCCCGGCACCGCTCACCTCTCCCGTCACCACCCAGACACGCCCCTTGTCTGTTCCTGGATCATGTCCCAGAATCCCCGGCACCGCTCACCTCTCCCGTCACCACCCAGACACGCCCCTTGTCTGTTCCTGGATCATGTCCCAGAATCCCCGGCACCGCTCACCTCTCCCGTCACCACCCAGACACGCCCCTTGTCTGTTCCTGGATCATGTCCCAGAATCCCCGGCACCGCTCACCTCTCCCGTCACCACCCAGACACGCCCCTTGTCTGTTCCTGGATCATGTCCCAGAATCCCCGGCACCGCTCACCTCTCCCGTCACCACCCAGACACGCCCCTTGTCTGTTCCTGGATCATGTCCCAGAATCCCCGGCACCGCTCACCTCTCCCGTCACCACCCAGACACGCCCCTTGTCTGTTCCTGGATCATGTCCCAGAATCCCCGGCACCGCTCACCTCTCCCGTCACCACCCAGACACGCCCCTTGTCTGTTCCTGGATCATGTCCCAGAATCCCCGGCACCGCTCACCTCTCCCGTCACCACCCAGACACGCCCCTTGTCTGTTCCTGGATCATGTCCCAGAATCCCCGGCACCGCTCACCTCTCCCGTCACCACCCAGACACGCCCCTTGTCTGTTCCTGGATCATGTCCCAGAATCCCCGGCACCGCTCACCTCTCCCGTCACCACCCAGACACGCCCCTTGTCTGTTCCTGGATCATGTCCCAGAATCCCCGGCACCGCTCACCTCTCCCGTCACCACCCAGACACGCCCCTTGTCTGTTCCTGGATCATGTCCCAGAATCCCCGGCACCGCTCACCTCTCCCGTCACCACCCAGACACGCCCCTTGTCTGTTCCTGGATCATGTCCCAGAATCCCCGGCACCGCTCACCTCTCCCGTCAGCAGCTCCACCATCTTCTTGGTGACTTCTAGAATCTTCTTATTGCAGTTTTTCTCCGGTGTCGCGGAATGAGGCGGATACACTGTGATGGTCACATGGTCACCAGACTTCAAGTGAGGAAATCTCTGTAGTGAAAGAAAAACAGTGATATTTCCAGAATCCCCCTCACCTCCCCGGTCAGGTCATGTGACCTCCCAGAATCCCCCTCACCTCTCCCTGTCAGGTCATGTGACCTCCCAGAATCCTCCTCACCCGTCCGGTCAGGTCATGTGACCTCCCAGAATCCTCCTCACCTCTCCGGTCAGGTCATGTGACCTCCCAGCATCCTCCTCACCTCTCTGGTCAGCAGGCAGATGATCTCCAGGGTGAGGTTTAGTATCCTCTCGGACATGCGATTCCGATCGATGTCCATCTTCATGGATGTGGTCATGTGATCTCTGGAGGTCTCTCTGTGGATGGACAATAGAGAATTATCTCGTTCTCCTCTTGTCCTGAGTATAGTCTTTCCTCATAGTTTAGGTCCTCCAGCCCCTTGATTAGTTTGGTTGTCCTTCTCTGGACTCTCTCCAGCTCTGGGACGTCCTTTCTGTGGATAGGAGACCAAAACTGAACCGCATACTGCAGATGAGGCCGAACCAGTGTTGTGTACAGGGGCAGAATTATGGGAGAGAGAGGAGAGACAGCCAGGAGAGAGTGAGGAGAGACAGCCAGGAGAGAGAGGAGGGACAGCCAGGATGCCCCGTGTTTCAGACACCTCCTTGCTCCCCGGGTTGCAGTGTCTCTCCGTGTCCCGTACCTCCTCCATGCACTTATGTTGGAACACCAGGACCCCGAGGTTGCCTTTGTCCACCTGACATCTTGTGTCCGGGGTCCAGCTGGCCTGACACAGCACGTACAGGGCTCAAATCCCGGACAGGTGGCAACCCTAAGTCCATGGCTGATGTCCCACCCCCGCTTATAGTGACAGGGCGGAGTTATCTTCCTCCTCCTCCTCCCATTACCGGCTGCCGACCGGGGTCAATGGATAAGCGAGCGACAAAATGAATCGACCGCAAACTGAACCAAAAATTAAAATCGGATAACCCGAATTCCAATGTCATCCCTAAAACAAGAGACTGCTGAGGTGAAGAGGTCACGTCTCCAAAACGAAGACAATATCCCCCCGGCCACATATGTGTGGAAAATGTTCTGACCCTGAAGGGGTTCATATATATACGTGTGTGTGTGTATGTGTATCAGAATCTGCCGGAGATAAAAGACGTCACAGTGACTATGGAGGACGAGGACGCACATGACGGGGGGAGGGGTTACTGGGTGTAAATAGAAAATAATATATTATTACCTCCTCTGCTGCCAGTTCCAGCAATGTCTCCTCTCTACTTCCTCCCGGCTCGCCTCTCACTTCTTATTTATATGTGACATCACTTCCTGTTCGTTTTCCATAGAGACTTCCTGTCTGTGGGAGTCATAGAGACTTCCTGCCTGCGTATAGGTGAGATCACCACCTGGTGGAGCTCTGAGGAACTGAGAAACGTCTCGTAGTGTGATCACGGCCTTCTTCTGTACATCCTTATAGATGGCGCATTCCCACCCAACCGAGAGGGATCGAAATATATGACGTACCTACCTTGATGAAAACCTTCCCACGTGTCCTTTTTGGTGATGCAGACCCCCCTCCGAGTCATGAGAGGACCCTTCCTGTGCCACCGTTTCCTGTTATACCCATTACACGGCTCTGTAGTCACTGCCTATCACTAGGTTTTGGTATATGCCGGGCATCTAGTGGTAGATTGGTGCTACTACAACTTGCTGATCTGTATACGTTGGTATCTCCCACGGTTCTCCCCTCTTCTCACTTGGTATAGTCCTAGGTAGACCTTCTCTACTCGTACCATGTCCCCTCCTTGGTATCGGTAGCCCTCGTTGCGGACACTCGGCTCGGAAGATCGATTGTCTTTTTACCCCCCGTAGGAGCCGCTGGTTGCCCGGTTCATCTCTAGTCTGTCTAGGGGGATGTTCTTCAGCTGCCCACCCAGTAGCTCCAACCGCCCTTCTTCTGGTGCCCACAGACTGAGGTCCACTACAGTAGTATAATGCTAAGTAAACGGTTTATTGAACATCTTCACTGAGGAGAGAGGGTATGGGGGGGTTCTAGGTGTCTAAGGGTAACCATCAAGAGCTCCAGACTCACCAGACGTCACAGGGACATCAGTGCAAATATAATTAGGTGACAGCGGACGGCCATTGATGTAGCAGACGGGCAGGATGGATGCCGATCCTCAAAACAGGAAAGACAATGACCATGCTCTGAAGTCCACTTAGTTCCGGGGTACTTCAAGAGCCTGCACTGGTCCCGGTTCTCTTCCTCTTTCGGCATCACAGACCTCCTCCATGTTGTCGGGCTCAGGGAAACCTTGTCCCTCACACCAGCCCATGCCCACCCCCAGGCCTCGGCCTAACCTGGGGGGGGTTGGCTGGTCCCGGCGAGAGAGAGAGCACATGGCAGCTCCCACCAGTATATGTACACTCTCCCAGCAGGCCCCACTGGCTGAGAGAGAAACTCAGTGATTGGCTGCTGTACTGTACATACACTAAAGTGCCTCCCATTGGCTGTCCCACAATATGACAGAGTCATACTCCGCCCAGGGGGGGGGTACACCTGACACCTGGAATTAACCAGATAAATGCCACTATAATCCAGCCAGGCCGACTACGGCCCCGACAATCAGACTTATCAGGCCTAGACCAGGAATCCTGTAGTATCTTAGACCTCTAGGCCCCCAGCACCTACCACATGCTGAGGCCCAGACCAGGCGTCCAGTAGTATCTTAGGCCCCCAACATCTGCCACATGATGAGGCCTAGACCAGGAGTCCAGTAGTATCTTAGGTCTCTAGGCCCCCCAGTACCTGCCACATGCTGAGGCCCAGACCAGGCGTCCAGTAGTATCTTAGGCCTCTAGGCCCCCAACATCTGCCACATGATGAGGCCTAGACCAGGAGTCCAGTAGTATGTTAGGCCTCTAGGCCCCCAGTATCTGCCACATGCTGAGGCCTAGGCCAGGCATCTGTATCACACAGACCTCCTCCCAGGGAGGGCCCCAGGGGAGAGAGAGAGTTCTGGTAAATGTCCCCAAACCTTTATCACCTTCCTCCAGCCACACCTCTGAGTCATCCTGCTCAGGGATTGGTCAGAGTCAGATGCATAGTCACAGCCTGAGGATGGATCCTCCCTCACTGTATGCTGGAGGCCCCAACCCAGCAACAGTGGGAAGCAATCAATCCCCCAGACTCAGGGAATCCAGCAGAACTCAGAGACAATCAGCATCTAGATTGACTACAGTCCAGATATAGAACTAGATTTAGTAGCGACATAGCAGAGGGCTCTACAATAGGTAAGTAGCCGAAATCCCTCCACTGATCCCTATCAGACATATATCTCTATCCTTCTCGGTGGGAGTGGAGATGACCCGTCTATACAGAACACACAGCACGAGGCCGAGTTCACACTACGAGATGTTTCTCGGGGCTGCAGTTCCTCTGAGCTCCACAAGGTGGTGATCTCACTTATAACCAGACAGGAAGTCTCTATGGAATACAGACAGGAAGTGATGTCACCTATAAATAGGAAGTACCAAGTGAGAGGTAAGGCGGGAGGAAATAGAGAAGACACATCTGTGGAACTGGCAGCAGAGGAGGTAATAAGATATTATATTATATATACACCCAGTAACCCCTCCCCCCGTCACGTCCGTCCTCAGTCTCCATGGACTCGTGATGCCTTGTATCTCCGGCAGATTTTTTTCTAATCGAAGTTCATAAACTGAACATCATCAATAAAAGTTTTATCCGTTAGGATAGAATGAGAAGATCCCACCGGAGGCCAGAGATCCTCCTACATCCAAACCTCCATGTCACCTCCCGATCTCCTCCTCCTATTATTGTGCAACCAACACAATCCGGATCATTCTCTGATATCAATGTTATCCGTCTACAGGGAGACCTTCATAGAGGACTGCACCAATGATGGAGGAGGACCGGAGTCACATGACCGAGAGGATACTAAACCTCACCCTGGAGATCATCTACCTGCTGACCGGAGAGGTGAGGAGGATTCTGGGAGGTCACATGACCTGACCGGGGAGGTGAGGAGGATTCTGGGATTCGAACATGATGTTCCTATTGGTTTCTCCATCCAGAGTTTTCCTCTTCTGAAGTCCGGTGATCATGTGACCATCACAGTGCCCCCATGTGACTCCCTAAAGCCCGAGAGACCCAACATGGAGAAGGTTCTAGAAGTCACCAAGAAGATGATGGAGCTGCTGACAGGAGAGGTGAGCGGTGCCGGGAATTCTGGGACATGATCCAGGAACAGACAAGGGGCGTGTCTGGGTGGTGACGGGAGAGGTGAGCGGTGCCGGGGATTCTGGGACATGATCCAGGAACAGACAAGGGGCGTGTCTGGGTGGTGACGGGAGAGGTGGGCGGTGCCGGGGATTCTGGGACATGATCCAGGAACAGACAAGGGGCGTGTCTGGGTGGTGACGGTATCATTGTGTGTGTCAGGTTCCTATAAGGTGTCAGGATGTCTCTGTCTATCTCTCCATGGAGGAGTGGGAGTATCTAGAAGGACACCGGGATCTCTACAAGGACGTGGTGATGGAGAATGCCCCGCCCCTCACATCACCGGGTAAGAGGAGAGAGCAGTACGGAGGCTCCGCCTACATCCCCCATCATCTGATACACACATAGAAACAATGTATTCAGTCAGTGTGTGTGTTTCCTACAGATGGATCCAGTAAGAGGAACCCACCAGAGAGATGTCCCCGCCCTCTGTATTCCCGGGACCCCACCCAGGAAGATCTCACCATCCCCCACCATGAGAGATGTCCCCGCCCCCTGTATTCCCGGGATCCCACCCAGGAAGATCTCACCATCCCCCACCATGAGAGGTGTCCCCGCCCCCTGTATTCCCGGGACTCCACCCAGGAAGGTCTCACCATCCCCCACCATGACCAGGTGGGTGGGGCGGAGCTTCTAGAACATGAAGTGACTGATGGAAATGATGAGTGGATCCTACAAGATGATATTTACTTTCATTTTCCTGGTTTAGGGTGAAGATCAGATGAAGATGAAAGTTGAGGGTGAAGTAGAAGAGACGTATGTGAGGGATGATCAGCGATATACGGAGGAGGCCAGGATGATGAGGACATCCATAGAGGAGGACACGCCTACAGAGATCAGCACAGGTGACTCATAATATATTCTTCTGTTATCCGGGAGAGGGGCTGCCAGTTTATACTCTGATCCTCTTGTTTATCAGACAACACCTGACCCTGGCTTGTGGTTAGGTTGAAGAGCATGCTCTTCCCCATTGGCTCCTCCACTTCTGACAAGGCTGTGTCAATGTAGTAGTGATCTGGGAGGAGGCCCTTTGACGGAAGAGGGGAGGAGTCCCGGCTGGTTGGGACCTCCTCATAGAACATCTGCTCCCTCAGACCTCCTGATCCAGATGGAATGTTGAGTGAAGTCATCTAACCCTCTCATATCTCTCCATCATGTGTCTCTATGTTTCCAGGACACGCCATGGAGGAACCCTCAAAGGATCGTCTGACTTTATCTCCAGGTTGTAAGATGGAAGATGAGGACATCACAGCAGATTGTGCGGGAGAAGAGACAATGAGCTCAGCTATGGATGGTGGACGTCACAGTGTGGGTAGACCATGGAATCCCTCTGACTCTGAGCGACCTCGTCCTGTGGGGGATGGTGCCGGAATTCTGGGGGAGGAGACATTTTCATGTCCTAAGTGTGGAAAATTTTTTAGCTCTGAATTAAGTCTTTCTGTACATCAGAGATTTCACACGGGGGAGGCACTTCATTCCTGTTCTGAGTGCGGGAAAAGTTTTTCAGGGAAGACCAATCATTCAGGATATCGGAAATTGCACACGGGTGAAAAGCCACATCCCTGCTCTGAGTGCCAGAAATGTTTTCCCCGGAAATCGGACCTCGTTAGACATCAGAGATCGCACACAAGAGAGAAACCATATTTTTGTATTGAGTGCGGGAAAAGTTATCCATGGAAATCAGACCTTCTTGTACATCAAAGATCTCACACGGGGGAGAAGCCGTATTCCTGCCCCGAGTGTGGGAAACGTTTTTCCCAGAAGTCGAATCTTAAAACACATCAGAGGTCTCACACGGGGGAGAAGCCGTATTCCTGTTCCGAGTGTGGAAAAACTTTTACATGGAAGTCCAATCTTACTGAACACTTGATATGCCACTCGCAGGAAAAGGTCTTTTCCTGCCACGAGTGCGGGAAAAGTTATCTACGGAAATCAGCACTTGTCAGACATCAGAAATCTCACATGGGAGTAGAGATAATTCTGCTTTGAGTGCAAGAGATGTTTTTCACAGAAGACTCGTCTTATCAGAGATCCCACAAAACCCTGGAGGTGTAGTAGTGTCATGAGTGCGGGAAATGTCTACTGAGTGTGGGAAATGGTTCTCAAAGAAGTCTTGTCTTACCGAACATCAGAGAACGCACACAGCCCTCAAGGTGTATTGGTGTCATGAGTGCGGGAAATGTCTTCTATACGAATACTTTTTTGTGGCACATCAGAGGTCTGATGCTGGGAAATATATGGAGACGGATTTTATGATGAAATATTTCTGTTGTTATAACGATGAGATTCTTTGTATGTTGGTGGATAAAAGTCGTCTTCAGATTTGTATCATTAAATCTTCTTTTATTCCTTTTTTCTTCAGCCAAAACTTTATTTGAGTCTCCAGTCCTCCTCTTACCATAGACGATAATAAAACGAGTCAGTCCCCCCATTGTCCTTGTGTCTTGGGAGGACTAAAGGGAGGGTCAGAGGTTCTTCATGTGCAGCTAGTAGGAGGCGAGCAGGTTCTGCTTCCACAGAGCGGTGGTCGGGCAGCACCTCCGAGAGGCGGAGCACGTCTTCCTTTCCTGTCTGGCAGTGGGCGTGCTATAGAACATGGAGGAGGAGGTGGACTGGATAACCAAGCCTTCATCATCGTCCTTCTCCCAGGCATCATCTGCAGCTGCAAATGGACCCTCTTCTTCTACATCTAGTCCCTCTGTAGGGAATGGAGGAGTCAGAAGAATCATTTCAGCCCAGCTTCTGTCACCTGATGCCCGAGGATGAACAACCATGAATGGTTATTAGATGTTGAGGAAGAGAGCGCATGGAGCATGGAGGAGGAGGGGACAACATGCAGGAGGAATCAATGGTCAGTGATGTTCCTGCAGCTGGAGCTTACTGCCAAGGGGGCTGGGTGTAGAGGAGGAGGGTGTAGATGATGAAAAAGAAGGGGTAGATAATGATTAGGAAGGTGTGGATGAGGAGGAGGAGGGTGTGGATGATGATGAGGAGGAGGAGGGTGGGATGATGAGGAGCAGGGTGTAGATGATGAGGAGGGTGTGGATGATGAGGAGCAGGGTGTAGATGATGAGGAGGAGGGTGTGGATGATGATGAGGAGGGGGTGGATGAGGATGGTGTGGATGATGATGAGGAGGGTGTGGATGA